TTCTTTCTTATAGCCCAAATGGCTTCAACCTGATCATGGCCACGTCCGAACACAACCCGTCCACAAGTGGCTGCAGGTAAGGCCCTTTAGCTATTGTTGATGCTGTCAGCTGCCGTGAGTCGGCCCCGACTCCGGGCGGCCTGTGTGCTTCACAGTGGAGCTGCTTCATAGTTCGCAGGCTTTATAGAAATGGAAAGCTTTGCTACTGGAGGTTCGTTTTTTGGGGGGATGTGATTTGTTTTCAAGCTTCTAATAAAACATTACTGTGCACAGCTGTCTCTGTTGGGAACACAGCTGCACCCTGGCCTTTCGGAGCAGACTGGTCCTCTGCCAACTCCACCCCTGGGCCCTACAGGCTCGTCAGACCCACTCGTGCTGCTCCGGTGCCTGGAGTGCCTCCAGGCCTTCTCTCCTCCCAGCTCTGTCCAAACAGGTGTTGTCTGAGTGTTGGGCGTGTTCATCTGGAACATTCCTCACCTTTTTGCGCATTTGAAACCACTTTATCCTCACGTCTGCAGCCATTTCCATGTCCCCTCTGGAGCAGAATCCAGCTCTCCCTCCTGGGCATTGGGCCCTTGGCCCAGAGACCACTTTTCCCGCCATTCTCTCTGCACCCTCTGACAGAAGAGATGCCCCCCGCCCCCATCAGCCGGAGCCACCTGTCCTGTCTTCCTCCCGTCTCCTGGCATCCGTCAGCATTATGATCCCTCTCAAAAACGTCCCCCCTCCCCGAGGCCTTCCCGTGCTCACGTTGACGTTTGTGCACGGGCAGCGCCGTTGCTGTCCTCTGCGATCCCTGTCCCCTCAGCCCGTTCCCAGCCCAGCAGCGTGTACACTAACATTAGACAGATAGGAAGAGCAGGCGAGAGCCCCTGCAGAGCATACACACAGCCCCCAGGGGCTCGGCTGCTGGGGCCACCTGCATGTGTGGAGGCTTCTTTCGATACAAAGCCGCACTTCCACATTCAACAACCGAAACGAAGTGACAGTTTGTCACTGACGGTCTGGAAGGGAGCACGGATCGTTCCCACGGACACAGGGAAGGGGCGAATCAGAGTCAGAGAGCGTGAGCGGCCCCGGGCTCAGCCTTTAGTAAGGTCTGAGCGGGGAGACCGCTTTATCTCATGGCTTAGGGACTCTTGGCTAGTTTACAGCAAGCAGCAGGAAATTGGGGGGCTGGGGGCACGAATTTGTCAGAAGCGGCACAGGGTCCTTACCTGGGTTTCCAGCTGTGACATGTGGATGGAGACAGGGAGAGCTGGCCAGGAGGAACTGCCTCTGGACCATTATCTGGGATTTTGCATGCCGGTATGAGTTGATAGGAAGGCAAGCAGGCCTGCTTTTTTGAAATAAGTAATGTTTAAGCAGAGGCTGGAAGAAAAGGGATGCCAAGGCCTCAAAAATGGAGTGGGCAGAGGCCAGGGATGCTGCTCAGTAACCTACAACGCGCACCACAGAGAATGACCGGCCCCAAATGTTAGTGGCGCTGAGGTTGAGAAAGCCGGGGTTGGAGGCATGTGTCTCCAGAACAGGACACGCGGGAGGCTAATGCTTGGTCGCCTCTGTCTTTCATTCTGTGGCAGTGAGCAGTCTGGCAAAGCAGACATGCACAGAGAGCTGAGAAAGACCCTGAAGGAGCTGAAGGTCCACCTCCCTGCCGACAAGAAGGCCAAAGGGCGGGCCAACACGCTGGCCACCCTGAAGTACGCCCTGCGGAGCGTGAAGCAGGTGAAAGGTAGGGGCCGTGCACGTTGTCCAGACACCAGGGTCACAGCTTGCAGTGTGCCGGCTTTCTCAGACTCGGTCCTGAAACAGTTTTGTTTCCTTTTGGGCATCTGCAGAAACTCCAGAACACTGAAGGCTTGCCCAAACTGAGATGAGACTTCCTACCCTTTCTTTTTTTTATTTTTTATTTTTATTGTTGTGCTTTAAGTGGAAGTTTACAATTCAAGTTAGTTTCTCATACAAAACTTTATAC